AGAGAGAGAGAGAGAGAGAGAGAGAGAGAGAGAGAGAGAGAGAGAGAATTCACCCATAAAATGATGAGGAATAGCAGAATGAATGATGACAATAGATAATAACAATTTGAAGACTTCAGAACTGGGTTCAATGAATTCTACAGCCAATCATGACTCTAGAATACTGATGAAGAAGTTGTTCACCTCTTGGCAATAAAGTAATCTACTATCCTTGCAGAATAAACTACACATCTAGTCACAAGATTAATATGTTAAATTATTTTCTTTGACTATATATGGATTAAAAGATGAGATGTTTTAAGTTCAGAGGTAGGGTTGAGGTGTGAATCTGAAGCAACATACAAAGTAGTACTAATGTCACCAAAAATGAAAAAAAAAGAAAGTAAATGAAAATTTAGTAAAATAGACAACTGGATAGTTGAAATAAGTAAAAGTTCCCATGAATACTACCTCTAAGCAGATAATTCTCCCACCTTTAGATGGTGCAGAAAGAACAAGAAACATTCCAGGTTAGGTTTCCTAGTGATATTATCATCCATTCTACTTGTTTCTCCTCTTCCCCATCTGGGAAGCGTTGTTTTGTTTATTTGTGTGTGTGTGTGTGTGACACATTGACTTATTATATTTTTAATAAGTCAAAACTGTTTAATATTTTAATGTCTCTTGGAGACATAGAATATAGATTTTATATCTCTGTTGGCTAAAGACAGATCGCTGGAAAAAATATTCAAATTTAATCATCCAATGGTTGAGAGAATTGCAGGGGGAAAAATCCTTTCCTAGTAAAGAGTATTAGCAGAGAAGGCTGCAATCCTCTGGGAGCAGAAAATTCTCAAATATTCTTCATTCTATATGGGTTGAGTATTATCCTCTATAGGAAAATATAGGAAAAAATTAAGAACTCTAACTTTTTAGCATTTCTGGAGCACTGAGCACAGTCATAATATATGGAAATTGGGCACCAACTATGGAAAAGAACAAGTGGGACATAAAAAGAAGTACAGAAATTAAGTCCATTAAGCAGCTTAAAATATAGTTAACAAAGGAAGAAAAAAAGTTATGAAATAAACATGAATAATTTACATTAGAATCAAATTTTAAAAAGTTACAAGTCACGATTAGCTGTTTTATAATATGTGCAATGATAACATATAATTTAATAATAGCAATAATATAAATAAGGATAACAATAATATTTATATAATACTAAGTGTCAGACATGTAAATTTTTTAAAATTATTACATCTTCTGATCCTAAGAAAAACCTGGGAGATCAGTATCATTATTTTGCCCTTTTATAAATGTTAAAACTGAAGCAAATAGCAATTATGTGACTTGACAAGGTTCACATAACTAATAAGTTAGTTATGCTGGATTTAACTCTGGTCTTCCCGACATCAGACATGGTATTCTTTCTACTGTTTGAGAGCATAAATTCTGGGTAATTAATTATTTTTTAAAAATTAGGGCTAGAGAATAATTAATAATTGGATAGTCATTTGGATGTTTCTCATAAACCAAAGATGGATCATGGTGGCCTAATGAAGCTTAAATGCCATTGGAAGAATTGTGTTCTAGACAGATGGCAATCAGCACTCATTGGTTTACAATTAATGAGAGAAGTGAATGTTATATTGAGAGGTGTGCCTATTCTAATGAGGGTGTGCGATGGGATGTGAGTTTGATTATGTCACTCTTACTGTCCAATCACCCCTAGCCTCAGGCAATCTGGACAAAGGATCTACCCCATCACCCAAGTCTATAGGAGTGTTAACTATAGCTTATCTTATTGGTGGGGAGTGTGTGGAAACCACTAATTCAATCACAGAAACATTTTTCTTCCTTCCCAGGTCTCCTTCGATCTCACTACCATTTTTATATCCAAGACAATAAGGAATGCATTCTTATGATGATTTCCTGTGCATTATCTACATTCTTCAAATTATAATTGGAGTTTTGGGGAATAGTTTACTCCTTTACCTTTATGGTTCTAATTCAATTGGTGGGCAAAGAACAAGGCCCATTGGCCTGATTTTCATTAATTTGGCCTTTTCCAACATTTTGATGATTCTCTTCAGGGGAGTTCCATGGGCAATCCAGTCTTGCACCCAGAAAATCTTCCTGGGTGACATTGATTGTAAAATTGTAGTTTATCTGCAAAGAGTTTCCCGGGGTCTTTCCCTTTGTACTACCTGTCTCATGAGTTTCTTCCAAGCCATCATGATTACTTTTTGTAGCTCCAAATGGTTAGAACTCAAAACCAGAGCTACTCAATATATTGTTCCATCCTGTGTCTTCATATGGGTACTTAATCTGTTGGTAGATGTGATTGTGCCTCTGCATGTGACTGGTCCTAGGAACAGCACAAACAGTATGCTGAGCAAGAACCTTGGCTATTGCTCTATAAACAGGTATGCCATGACCACTTTGAAACTTGTGATTTGGAAGTCACTTTATGATGCAGTGTTTGTGGCATTCATGGCCATTACCAGTGGCTACATGGTGTATGTTTTGTACAGACACCACAGGAAAGTCCAACATATTCGTGACACCCCTAGTGCCTCCCCAGAGATCAGAGCCACTAAAGCCATCTTGTTTCTTGTGAGCATCTTTGTATTATTTTATTCAATCAGTTCTATCTTTATTATTGTGATGGATAATTCAAAAGATAAAAACCAGTGGTTGATATACATATCAGTTTGTTTGACCTTGTGTTATCCAACAGTCAGTCCCTTTGTTTTAATCAGTAGTGACTCCCGGATACCCAGTTGTTGTAATGCTCTCAAGAGGATGAAAATGTCTTACCCACACTCATCAAGATCTCAGAACAAACTCATGTAAAACCAGTGGGCCATGGAATTAAAAAACAAAACAAAAAAAACCAAAAAAAACATTTAATTTCACTCAGTCCAAAACACTTATTGTAAAAATGGTAATATTGGAGAAAAGAATCATGTTCCTACAAATTAAAAAAATAAATTATTACTTTGCTTTCTTAAAGGTAAGTGCCTTTATGTATGGGTCATTCTGTCTAGAACAACACATTTGGAGGACAGTAGAAAAGAGGGAAATTTTCCCTGAAGACTGGCAACAATTCCAAGGTATGGTACCATTCTTCAGAAAAGAAGGGCTTGTTAATGGTTACCAAGTTTTTACCCTTATATTACAACTGAAAGAACCAATGGGGTTCTCTCTCCCTCCCCCTTCATGGGCCACAATAACAGACAGGAGGTTGCTGGGCAAATACAGCCACAACCTCCAAACTGAAACTGAAACACGGTCCTCCTGTGGGCCCAGACACTTGTAGCCTCCACTGCAGTCTTGGCCTCTGGGCACCCAATGTGTGTCTTGCACCACAACATTAGGGAGAAGAGAAGCATCCAAGTGGCACACTTTGGCCAAGATATCAAGAAATTTACCCAGATAACAACCTCATGAATCAACAGGAGAGAAAACTAATTGCTAATGCACTCAGTCAGCATCCTTTTCCCCACCAGGCCCCACATTATGGCATAGTACACAAGTTGATCCATTAGTTTGTGCTGTGGGATCTACTTAGTAATATCCTTGTTCTAGTTGCTGTGTCTTTCATGGCATCCTGCCTCTATCCTCATCCAGTGTTCTGTTGTAATGAAGGGCAGAACTCAATTGTGCCCACTCACTTCCAGAGGACGGAAAGGTTTAACAAGACAGAGTGTTAAATGTAGCAACACTCAGCCAGAGAACTAAAGGATAGAGGGGCAAGATGCCAGTGTGTGGAGGGGATTACATCAACCCAGAATTAAAAGAAATTGGCATCCAGTTAGACCACAACAGCCTCTGTAAAATAACTTGGGACAAGGACTAGGGCTGGTATTAAATTCATTCCACAATATAGGAGAGGTCTGAAACACCTTTGAGATTTAAATC